GGTTTAGGGTTCAAACCCTGAACCCTACAACGGAACAGAGGCACAGCCGATGTAACTCTCTCTGCCACGCGTGCGGAATACTACGGGTTACTACCTGGAGGATGTAGGGTGGGTGTAGGGTTCAGGGCATTTCCCAAACTCGAAGCCTAAATTCCGATGTAGAGTTGAAGTCGATCTGACTTGCTTTCGCCTCAATGTTGGTACCGAAGGCGGCATCAGATGCATCCGCCTCCACAGGAGCTCAGGGACTGGAACTCGGACGAATGCAAAGGTTTGAATGTTTGGCAAGAGCATCTGCTGATAGTCCCAGAACAATCCGACCACCAGATACCCCAAAACCCTAGTCTAATCAGGGGTTTAGGGTTTAGGGTGTAAGGCCCGTACAATAATGTGTTCGAAGCACTTTACGCGGCAAGAGGACAACTCGAGAGATTGGACCTCTCTCCTTCATCTCTTGGCATGAAGTTGGGGCTACGGAATTCAAGGTCCCTAAACCCTAAACCTCTAAACCCTGAACCTCTACACCCTGAACCTCTAAACCCTAAACCTCTAAACCCTATACCGCGAAACCCTAAACCCCATAAACCTCTAAACCCTGAAACCCACAAATTTGGCGTTCAGGCTTGGCCCGGGTCCCACGCATTGAAGCGACTTTAACCGTTCAGACCTGAGCTCCCCAAGATCGGCGACTTGAGGGCGGTTTAGGGTTTAGGGTTTGGGGTTTAGGCTTTGGGGTTTAAAATTTGGGGTTTGGGGTTTAGGCTTTGGGGTTTAGGGCTTAAGGGCTTAGGCTTTGGGACCGCTTGATTCTTTAGAGGTCTTTTTGAGGGGGGTCGGGGGGGGGAGACATTTTTGCATAGGTATATAGGGGGATCGGTAATCGGGGATACTAAACCCAGGCCTAAACCATCCTAAACCCTAAACACTAGTTGGCATTACTTTTCCGACCCCTTCAGTACCTCGAAGGGCTTCGCCGGGTCTGGCAGCACGGTTGGCCTGGGGTGAGGCGGTTTGGAACTCCGACACTAGGGTTTTGGGTTTACGGGTTTAGGGGTTTAGGGGTTTAGGGGTTTCGGGGTTTCGGGGTTTAGGGGTTCAGNNGGGTTTAGGGGCTTAGGGTTTAGTTCGAGATTCTACAACAAGGGCTTCCGGAAGTCTCATTCCGTCGGGATGGGATGTGGATGGGTCCCATTGGGGGACGTGAGGATTGGAGCCTGCCTCATGGCAACTTCTGGGAAAAGTTCCTACCTTAAGAACCCCAAACCCACTTTTTTGTAGGTTCTTATTATAAGCCCTAATATGGGATTTATAGGGACCCTACAAAAAAGTAGGTTTTGGGTTCTTAAGGTAAGCCCTAAACCCTAAACGGTTACCAT